CTGGTTTATTGCAAACCTAATTTGATATTCCTTTCTTATTTTGATATTAATATTTATGTGACACTGACTTTACAGATTAGGTAAACATTCACGGAAAGTATAATTCTGTAGTGGATATATAGCTTTTAAATTTTTTTGTACTAACACTCCTAAGTTCAACATAATGGATATACCTATTTCCTTTTTACAGTTTATTCTGACTTAAAGCCCCATCTATAATATATCTGTATATAAAAATAATCATTGCAGCATTTATGTCCCTTGGAATATGTAATTTTAGAAGACAATAATAGGCTCTTAACAAGAAATTATGTTTTATAATGTCTTTTCCTGACATCTAGCTTTAAAGTTAAGAAAGAATAACTGTAGTCATTCAGAGCTATGCATGCTCAGTTATTTGGACAGGAAAAACTAGTCTTCAGTTTTAGGAGTATGGTGATCTTATGGGTTATAGATTTATATCTTGCCTTAGAGGAAAGTACCAGAAGCTCTTCTACACTGTGTTTAATTTCCTCGCTTCCTAACTACTTGCTTTCTGAAATAAGAAACTATCCTTAAGGGTAAGCAGGACACAAATAAGAATGCTGATATTCTGTGAGATTGTACTTGGTGCATGTCAATGGCAGAGGAAGAGACTCCTCTACTTAGAGCAAAACAAATTACATTTTCCCAATAGTTGTGTGTTTAAATTGCCTTAAAGCTCTGCAGGTCGAAAATAGCAGCCCAGTAAATTTAAACTTAGTTCTTTCATTGTGTATTTTTCTTACTTTATTAAAATCCACAATAGCTCTTGCAGTCAGAGTGAATGAGGAAGAGCCGGGAAATTTAAGCATCATAAATATTCAAGACTTTAGGATTAGGCCATTCAGAAGGTTGTATCGTGTCATCGGGAGTAAGATAGATGGACACATTTGTGTGCCAGAGCTTTCATTGTGTTCATCTTTGCTGGAAGCTTCCGTGGTTTACACCAGGCTGCACATCAAGTGTCTGAAAATAGGGTGCGTGAGAAAAGGAGGGAGAATAGAAAGGTGACTAAACTTATTAAAATTCATAGCCTCAGAATATTGGTTACTAGGTAGGCCCTGGTAACCTTGTTAAGTAGATACATTTATCTTTGGATCTTTCCTCTAAACAAGTCTAGATGAAAACTCATCTCCATAACTGCACCATTGCATACTGTCCTCAGGCTACATAAGGAACTTGATGCTTTATCCTCTGCTTATCTTTCTCAAGACCCGTGATGACAAGGGAGCACAGCCCAAAGAGAATAGATGGTAAGCATGGAGGTGAGCTTAGAAGGAAAGAGGCTGGGGAGGGTGAGGTAGGACATCTGGTGAATCATGCAATCACTTCTCCAGATAGTTGCTAAGGTAGTGAGCTCTGGGCCCACTGAGTCAGGCAACTTTAGTACCTCATGCTACTAAAAGAGCTCCTCTCTATCAAGGCAAGCGAACTGGAACGAGGATGATACAAAAAATAGTGGGTAGAACCAGAGCCTAAATTAACAGGCCAAAGAAAGCAAACCATCCGATTTTGCTGCCAACAACAAAGGGAATTAAAAGGCTCTCTGAGACAACTCAAGACAGGCTCAACCATTTTATGTAGTTCTTAGAGCAAGAATGATCTCAGTGTTGTTACATTCCTACCTGTACCTAAGATTGGAAAAGTGGTAGAGAAGGGTGTAAGTGGGAAGCCGTTAGGTCTAATGTATTCCAGATGCTTCTCTCTGCAGTTCTGAATGTTCCCTGTTTCAAAATCATGAGAAATCAATGTGTTAGTTGAATGCAGATGGCTTATGGTTTTACCTATTGTGGATCATGCATTTTCATTTAGAAAGGGTCTGTCGAAAAATAAAATTCATTAAAAACAACAATAAAAGTTTAAAACAGAAATCTTACCAGTGGTTCTCAACTCTGTGTGTCAGATTCAAGTGATATCTTAATTAGAACTACTTTGCTCACAAGGGATCGAAATCCAATTCAAAGTGGTTTAGTGAAAAAGATATTTTACTGGTTCAAGTGATTGAAAGATGTGAGAGCAGAACTGGATTCGGTAATGGTTTGATACAGGATTTCATATAATGTTATTAGCAAATCCCTTTTTTTCACTTCTTACCCTGCTTTTCTTCCTCTGTGTCATTTGTTTCATTGTCAGGCAGGCTTTTCTTTCCTAGTGGTAATTATGGTCACCGGAACCTTCAGGCCAAAATTATTTTACCTTAGCAACTCAGGAGAGGAGCCTGTATTCTTTCCCAGACGTCTCTGCAAAATCAATGCAGTTGACTTTCATGATCAGGATTGAGTAGTCCACCCTTGTTGGAAGCAACCATTTGGCCACAGAGATGCAACATGCTCTTTGCCAAGGCCTAAGGAATGGGCCCACCCTTGGTACTAAAGAGCAGGTTAGCATTACTCAAACTACCAATGTCAGAGTGGAAAAGTAGTGGTTCCTGAAACTAAAAGAAGAAAACTGCCATAATAATGGGTTCCAGCAGGAAAGTCACAGATGCCTGCAACATCTAATTTTTGTTTCTAATTCAGAATTCCAGATTAATTCCCACTTTGTATTTACTAAATCAGAATCTCTAGGGTTGGAGCCTTAAATTGTTGAATTTTGAAAATCCTCACAATGTGTTTCTAACTTACAGTCAGGGTGAGAGCCATTGCAACTCAAAAAAGCCATTTTAAAATAGGGTATTTTATGCATTGTAAGGCCAATAAGGGAGGCAGTTGTGGATAAGAGAATAACTATATAATTTGTTTACACGTAATGACTACTGCATATAAATTTACTGTTAAGAAAATACCAAAACATGAATGATAAAATGAAGACTAATATCACCATCACATTGACCTAAACTATTGGAAAAACTATTGATAATTGATGCTCATCAATTGAACATATAATTTTTTTTTTTTAGTTTTGGCATATTTATTACTTAGCCATTTTTTAAAAAGCTATTGTAAAATTTTTATGATATGCAAATGAATACACACACTCATTATATGTTATGAAGCATAATAGCAAAATAAACACTTGTGATTGCTTTATTCAACTTAAGATGTAGAACATCATCAATACCGCTGAGATATCTATATGCTTTTCTCTAATATTCTTCAGAGGAAACTTTGCCACACTGAATTTTGTTGTCATTCCTTTCCTTTTAAAAGAAATTTTATTACTTTTTTTTTAATTTTAAAAATAATTTTTTTTTTTTTTGAGACAGAGTCTCACTCTGTTGCCCTGGTGAGAGTGAGTGCCGTGGCGTTAGCCTAATTCACAG